GTTTACAACTGGCAAGCTCTGGCTTGTCGAGAGGGCCTTACAGTTCCTGCGCTGGGGAGCGTCCCCTGGGGCTCTGACATCCCTTCCCCCAGGACTCTTCCAAGTCCCCCAGGACCTCAGCTGGGCAGGGCAGAAACTTCCAAGAGGGGTGGGGAGGGGAAGGGCAAACTGGTTTGCTCTTCTGTCAACAGCCCCAGCCCGATGGCCTGGACTTTCAAAACCAGTCTGGCAGGCTGCCAGGCCTGGGGTGGGAGCAGTGACTGACAGACTAGTTATTGGAAAGCTCCCATCATTAGCCCCGGAATGTTGTTTGGTTACTATGGCGACCTTCCCTCCAAGCAGCCTGACTAAAGCACAAGGAATCTGTTACCTAAAACCAGCACCCCACGGAGCCCATGGCTTCAGGAACCAAGCTTATCAGTGGCCTGTTCCCTGTGACCCTCTCCAGCTGGGCCTCCCAGCTGCCTCTCAATCCCAGAATGAGAAGGGACCAGCAAAGGCATCTCTGCACTTGCCATGGGACCTCTTGCATTCCGAGGCCTGGCCTGGCTGGGAACCCAGGTCCAAATAGGGAGCCTGCTGCCCCCTTGAGGCCCCCTGCAAGCTGGCCAGCAACAGCCTGGCCAGCACATGTGTCCAGGGCTTAGTCGGAAGCCCTCCGGAAGGAAGCTGCTTGGGCATCTGGTTCCCACTGTGCCAGGTTCACACCATCCCTGCAGGGCCATCAGTCTCTGTCTCATCACGTTTCTGCCTTTTTAAACTTGAACTCCATTAACTAAAGGTCACCCCAACAGCACAGGAATCAAGATCCTCTTTCCTTTGCTGTCTAATCCCTGAATTCAGGAGGATTTTTAAAAGTCAACTCCACGAAAGCTGGGTTTTTCTCTAGGAGTCTTGAGACTGCCCAGAAGAATGGTGACCTCTTGCGCAGCTAAGGAGCTTAAACACGTTTTCACAGCTTCCCCTGCCCTCGTGCACAGGACGCCCGAGGCCCACCATGTGCACTGCCCCTGTCAGGCCCCACGTTATGGTCTTCTATTTGTGGGCACCTTCCAGACCCCCTACACTGCTGCCCTTGAATGCAGTTGTAAACCAGCTGTGAAATCTTTTCTTGTCTGAGTCTCACAATAGACCTAGGAGGCAGAGGGAGGCAGGACAGATGTCACTCGCTCAGCAGAAGAGAAAACGGAGGCACAGGAAGGAGGAGCAAGCTGCTGGAGGTAGCACAGGTAAGTGACAGGCAGGGACCTATTATGGCCCCCACATGGGGACAAGCTCACCAGGAAAGCATCCCACCAGCATCCCCTCTGTGCCAGGCCTCCTCCAACCCTGACACTGGCCCGCCGCCCTCTCCTTCACTAAGGCAGCCTCTGCAGAAGGGAAGAGCCTCTACAAGGTCTCAGCCACTGGGGCAGCTGTTGGCAAGGCGCTGGGTGGCAGACAGACCCACACCAGCAGCCTTTAAGTGCCCGAAATACAGACCTTGTTGGGGATGCCAAGGTCAGGGTGGGGGGTTGGGCTTTTTTGCTTAGGTGCAGTGATATTTATTGAATCAAAGGTTTAATGAACTGCCGTGGCAACAGCTGGAGCCACACACAGTCTGTTCCCAAAGCAGGGAGCAGCTGGAGAAGCAGGAGGCAGTTTCAGTTGAAGAGCAATGACATTCTTCAGTGATCCCTGACCGGTAATGGACTCAGTGACATTTCCTGCTAATCCCTGGGTTTCATCCATGGGGAAAAGTATTGACTTATTTGCAACTGTGAGCTGTGGTCACACCCTAGGGTCACTAAACAGTGCTATGTAGCAGGTGGATTTTCCACCCCCACACCCAACTCTATTAATATATATATATATATATATATATATATATATATATATATATATATAAAAATATGTATTTTTTTTATGAAGGTGATTTTTTTTTGCTTAAGACAACAGAAGTGTGTTCTCTCACAGTTCTGGAAGCCAGAAGCCCCCCATAATTTTACCGGTTTTGCAGCCTTGGAGGGCTGGCTCAGATCAGAACAGAGCTCCGCATGGTCGCGGAGGTGAGGGGCTCGCAGTGGCTCAGAGATAAAGACCCTGCTACTGCTTCTCTCTCCCTGCCACCCCTAGACAGGCAGACTTCACACAGTGAGGCACCACTGGGGAATGGGATGCTCTGGTTCCCAAATGCTCCACGGGAGGCCTCTCTGCAGTGACAGAGAAACACAGGAACCCCAAGGAGACCTCTGGGGATGGGACTCAAATGTTGTCCTTCCCTGGGCTGTGACCCCAGGCCCCAAGAGCTGTTGAGATCCCTGCAGTGGCTCTGCGGGGCTGGATTGGGGAGTGCTATTCCCACAGCAGAGGCTGCCCCTGTAGAAGGCTCCTGCCTGCAGAACTAGGGACACAGAGTGGCAGTTATCCCACACACTGACCAGCAGCACAATCTGCACCTGGGCCTCCCACCTTTCTTGGGTGTAGGACCCCTCTGAGGCTCTGCTGAAAGCCATTTCCATGGATGCAGGCACACAGGTGCAAATGTCATAGTTCCAGTCCAGGCATTCCTGGAAGCCCAGAAGTCCACCCACAGGCCTGCTAGGGGGTCACTAACCTCACAGCAAGGACCACCTCCCCCACATCCCCATGAAGATGCTTTGGTGAGTGAAGCATTTCCTGTTGAAGGAGTTGGCACCAGAATGAGGAGGGAAGAAAGGTGGGGTGGGGAGTGCATTTGGGAGAAGACGGAGAAGACATTCCCACACCAGCCCAAGAGCCTGGGAGGAGGGGGAAAGACAGCGGGAGGCAGGCGGTACCCCTCAGGCTGGGCTGGGAGGCGCTGCCCCCACGTACCAGACAAACCCCACTCCCACCGTGTCTCACAGAGCGTGGGCTCAAGCAGACTTTGAGAAAGTGGTGTCAGCCTCCCCACATCAGGCCAGGGATATGATTCTGCCAGTAGGAAGTATGCAGCCCAGAAGTTAGGAGGAGACGTGGCGCAGTCAGATGGGAGATGCTGGACTGGGAGCCTCCTCCACTGGGATGGGGTTGGAGCGGGGCCAGGGGGCAGCGTGTGGACCCCTTGCCTGGCTCCCATGGGGCAGCTCTATTCCATCTGCTTACGTCTCCATTTACAGATAAGATTTCACTTGGAAAAAGGACTTGCTGAAAAACGACGTCTGATGCCTGGCCTAGCCTCTCATTTCTTCTGTGACACACGCTCTGACCCCCTCCCGACTCTAGGATTCTAACCCTTTTTTGGTGACAGTTTCTCTTTCTACAGAAGCCTAAGTGACAATACATACACACACGCACAAACACACACACACGCCCACACAAAGCCAGAGGCAGCATGAGAACAGAGCTTTGGAAAAACAGTCAGGTAACTGGTACGGGAAGAAGAGAACCTTTGTCCTTCGTTTATTTTCATAAAAGCAAAAAATAAAATTTCTACACAGTAAGTCTCACTGTATTGTACTTGGGATTAATGAGACAAGGTAACTAATCCCTCATCCACACACAGTTTTATCCATGTTGAGCATTCCCTAAGCTACCTATCTTTTAAAGTGAACTGATTTCGATTTTAATAATCTTTCAAGTACAAGATTGAGGCCAAGAGCCAGGGCTGTCTCCCAAACACAAAGAACTGGCTATGTGGTGCCCGCCACGCACTGCCTCTGCTTACACCTGGCCGTGAGCAGCTGGCACCCACCTGGGCCAGGTCAGTGGGTCAGAAGTCAGGGTGCTGCAAGCCGGCAGTCAGTCTGGATGAGGGTAAGCAGGGTGAACTTGACCTGCAGGATGAACACCTGCCCTTGGCCTTTTACCCCCGGGGCTCCCTCTTCAGCAGGACACACTGGGGAGCTTACAGTTAGGACGCTGTCACTCCCAAAGTACCTTGCCTGAGCCTTGACAGGCAGGAAGCCACCCCCAGCAAAACTCACAAGCACAGCCATGGAGGCGGCCTCTTAAGGAGGCCAAAAGTGCAGGGAAGCCTGAGCCTCGGCCTCAGGGTCAGCGCCGCCCCTGCTGGGCAGGATGCACAGAGAGACTCCTGGGCTCTCCTCCCTGGGCCGGGCGGCCTGCAGCTTCCCTCCATCACCGATTACGTCTGTGGCTCCCACCAGTTTCCCTAATTCTTTGTGAACCTGCTTCTGCTGCTAGCATGAGTCACCTCCCTGGGTACCAGCACCGTGCTCCCTCCTGCTGTCCAAAGCAGGAAAGCCTTTGACTGGTTCTAAATGGCCCTCCTTCAGACCCTAAGGTGGGGCACAGTGGGAGTGGGAGCGCTTGTGGCCCCACACCCTGGGATCACAGGATTCAGAGAAACTAAGTCTATCACCCCCAGTATCACCTGGCTGGGGGAGGAGGGCAGAAATCCCTCTCATTCCCTGTCACCGAGCATTGCGCCCTCCTGCCACAGCTGGCCCAGTGAGGCTCCTGTTCCCCAGTGTCCTGGGTGGGTGGCAGTAGGTCCTCTGTGTATAGTCCTGCTCCAAGCACCAATGTGTGGGCCAAGTGCAGCGAGAACCCTGCTCCACACAGAGACAGAGGGAGAGGCCAGGACTATCTTGGAGGAAGTTAACCCCTTCCCCCCGCCTGCCCATGGCCTGCCCAGCCACAGGAGGATGGGTCACTTGCCTCCACCAGTGCAGCCAGTGTTAGATCCCATCCTTGGCTGGTTGTGCCAGGGTTATGATTAGGTTCCACAATTTAGTGTCCCCATGAGGCTCAAATGAGGAGCCCAGGGTGGGATGGCCCATGTACTGGAGCACAGTTTCCTCGGTGGTTCACACAGTTACTGCAGAGAGCGCCCCACTCCCCACATGGCCCCTCCTGGCATAGAATGGAATGCCAGTGCCATGCTCTGACCCCACCAGTCCTCGCCCTACTGTGGCTCTCCAGCCAGGGAGTGTGCCTGCAGTGGGTGCTCCATCAGTGTGTGCTGGCTGGCGACGTGGCAAGGCGGGGTGTGCACAGCCAGCCCCCCAGCCCAGCAGGGTCCACAGGGAACTCACTTGAAGTTCTCTGGATACTCGGCGATGGCCATGTTGATGACGTCCAGGGCATGCTGGTAGTGCTTCTGGGCAGAGAAGAGGAGTGCCAGCAGGTGAAGGGCGTTGGCGTCATCCTTGCACACTTTCAGGGCCTCCTGCAGCTGCTCCATGGCGCTGGAGATCTGCCAGAGAGAACTGCCAGCTTAGCGACCTTCCCCAAGGCCTGTGCCTCTCCCCAGGACTCTGGGGCCACAAGCCAACCAACCAGGGCACAGCAGACTCAAGTGAGACCCTGGGCACTGGGGCTCAGGTGAGAAAATACACCTTCAAATAACACGCTGGAAGGATCTGCTGCCCCAGGTCAGGCCCGGGAAGCCGGTGCTATTTCCTAAACTGGAGGAGTAGGGGCTAAAAGGACAGGGCACCCAGACCGTTAGCTACACATTTTTGCTCTGAACCTGTCCATGCAGTGATGGGGCGACAGATAAATGCCACCTCCTACTCAGAGGCTCACAGTGGCAAGAGCTTAGGTTCCGGGGTCAGAAGGGGCATGGATCCCAGCTCTGCCACTTCCTAGCTGGCACCCAGGACAGAGGACTTCACCTTTCTGAGCTGCAGTTCTTATGCTGCAAAATGACAGTGGCTGAGAGGGTGAGACAGGTAGAATTGTCTTGAGTACCAAGTGTGTTTGAAAATGTGAGTTTCTGTCTTGAAGCCTCCAAAACTCAGGCAACTAACGAACAGGTAAGATTCTTCTTTCCAGTCTTTGAGGGATGTGTTCTCTCAGGTGCTCAGGCCCGAGCATTGTGTCAGCTCCTGTGACTGTATCCACACAGGGCCCTGCCCTCCTAGGAGCATCCAGAGTCTTTCTCAGAAAGTCTTGCTCCTTACCAATCCTCGGTCTCCAGTCTCCAATGCTCCTTGAGGGGCCTACAGTGCAGGGAGGCTGGGGCCTGGCCACCGCCTGGTCTCCATCTGGCCTCTGTACTGGCTGTAGGCACTACTGCCAGGCCCAGAGTCCTCCCATGGGGAAAGGTCAAGGGAAGTAAAGGAGGAAGCCAGGGTCATTATGGGCCAACAGCTTGCCTTGCCCGAGTCTCTCCAAGGCTACTCCTGCCCTGGTGATTCTCCAGAGTGGACCCCATTATCCTGGGCTGCATGTCCAAATCTGCAGCCGTGCATGCTCTGGGCAGGATGGGCTGGAGGGCCTCAGAGACCTAAGCTGGCAGGACTGGCTTAGAATTCATTTAGGGGCCCTCACCCCCCTGAGGCTACCAAGTTCTGGGGTCCTCAAGGAAACTGGGTACCAGGTTCCACTGGCCTGGCCTAGCCATCTCTCTGGGAGGACAGACGCCATTCATCAGAGGTGGCTGAATAATTAAAGATATTTAAAAATGTATCACCAGAGGTTTATCAGGAACTTGTCTGGCAAGCAAAGCACTGGCTCTTTTACAGAGGCTAAAAATAAAGTGGTCTCAAGTATCTGTGTCCATACTCCTGGGAGCACCAGAGCAGACTGATGTTTCTAGGGAGACAGGCAGAGAGGTACCAAGTGCCTCCTCCAGGACCTGGAAGTCAGCAGCCAGGGGCACAGTGGGACAGGGGCTGGGACAGGCAGTGGCAGCCTGGAGGCAGAGGAGGGATGGAGCGACTGGGGAGAGGTATGGCATGACCATGGGGAGGGATGGGTGCAAGAGGAAAGGAGAGAAGCAATGAATGGCTGAGGGAAGGTCAACAGGGCTGCTGGGGGAAAAATGGTTGAGACAGGAGGACCTGGAGAGGGAGAGAGTGTGACTCACGAAGAGACAAGTCAGGGCAGGGTGGACATGGGCACTGGGTTCAGGTGTGGGGCAAGAGGGAAGGGGTCCCACAGTAAAGGGGCAGGGAGGGGACGAGCCAGGCTGACACTGGGCTTGAGGGGAAGGTGAAGCAGACAGTAAGGTGAACAGTTTGGGGGAGCACAGTTCCCCGAACTACCTGAAGACCAGACCAGGGGCCAGAAGCTGACACCGACCAGTAAAACCAATAGCCAGGCTGGTGGACAAGGTTCCAACTGCCCTGTTTCCAAATGCAACAGGGGAATAAGATACTTAGAGCCACGTGGGGTTTCTTAACTGGGTCAGAGTGGACTCTGGAGCAGAGTGGACTGTGCTGGCCTGGCCAGTTTCCAGTTCCTGAGCTCAGGGAAGTCAGCACCTCAGGTGTAAATCAGGGCCAATGGCGCCCTCGTCGTCAGATGCAGGGCTCCCCCAGGCCAGTGTGCGGCGCAGCAGCACCTCGTTAGCTGGGCTGCCTGTACCCTGACCACAAGTAGATGGGGGCTCTGGTGACTCCTCTCGCACAGTCTGGAGCCCAGCCTGTGTCCATGCTGGCTTGTTTGCTGTCCCCAAGCAGTCCAGGGTCCACACTCACCAGGTCAAGGCCACTGAGAGGTCTTGCTTTACAGGCCAGGTGTGTGCACGAACCACCAGCCTGAGAGGCCAAGCACATGTGACATCAGCAATTTGGAAGAGCCTGGGGGATGGGAGCCCTTGCTCTTTTCTGAAAGGCAACCTGCTGGGTGGGTGATTGCCTGGTCCCACAACCTGACAACTCAGCTGCTCAGCTTAAAGGATGCAGGTCGGCCTGGAGAACCATAGGTGGTCCCAGTAGGGCAATGGTGGTCAGAGTATGGGAGGCTCCCATCAGGCCCCAGAGGCCGAGCCTGATGTTGGCATCTACAGGATCAGGGAAAAGCTTTGGGTCATGCAGAAATAGCTCCATGTACCAGTCACTCTGCTCCCCCAGACCCTTGGGCAAAGCTCAGCAGAAGGCAAGGATGCAAACAGATGTTTATTGTGGTCACCTGTCAACTTTTCATGTCATGTCTCAACTGACATGTTGTAGGGGGACTGAGAGCAGAGAACAACCCCCTCCTATGTCCCCACCATGGGCAGGGGCTTTACCACACTATCTGACTTAAGCCTTAATTCTTACTAGATCCCTGTGAGGTGGAGTATGAATGCTCACATAACAGATAAGGAAATAGAAGCTCAGAGAGGTCAAGTCACTTGCAAAGGGTCACACAGCTGATAAAAGCAGTGGGGCTAGGAGATCAGCAGCCCCAGGGACTTGTGTGTTAGGAATTCTGAGGACCCACCTGGCGGACAAGGGCCAGCTGCAGGGACACGTAGAGGATGACCTGGGGGTCGCCAGGCGCCAGCTGCTGGGCTCTGAATGGGGAAAGGGAGCAGCAAGTCAGTCACAGTCACCTAGGATTGATCAACCAGTGAGCGATGAGGGCTTCCAGCATGCCAGCCCGTGCTGGGCACCAAGCGGCAAAGTGTCAGGGATTCCGCCCACCCCTGCTTTGAAGGGTGCTCAGCAAATGATGGCTGGGGCAGAACGCATCAGGGCAGCCACAGCAGGGGGCAGTGGGCTCCAAGAGGGCTGGCTCTGGCTGAGGTGGGGGTTGTCTGGGAGGGTAGGACTAGGGGTGGGGAAACCCCTCTCCTCTGGCCTGGGTCTGGCCTGTACGGAGCCTGGAGCCTGCCCGCTCCACTGTGGGACAGGAGAGAACACCCCCGAGGATGGAGGGGCTGGGAACAGCCTCTGCGAAAGAAGCGCGGGAATGACGAGCTGGTGGGAGAAGGGAGGAAATGTCCTCTGGCCCTGGGAGCTTAGAAGGAGTTGGCTGGGATAGGACTCTCCTACCTCACTGGGTCTGAGAACAAACCGCCTGAGAGGGGAGCTGGATGCTCCAAGGAAGCCCGCATATTGAGTCTGGGGCAGGCCCCCAACCAGCAGCTCCCACCAGTGCTTTGACAGAGCAAAACACACAGGGCTCAGGGAGAAGAGCCCTTCGATGGGCCAGAGAAAGGAGAGGGGAGGGAGCTCAGGGGGCTGTGGTGGAGAGGGGCTCAGCAAGGACGCCCGAGGGAGGGAGGGCCTCACTGGTGGAGGGGCTGGGAAAAGACAAACACCCTTTTGGAGCCCCTGCTACTGGTAGGTCAAGGTGCATTCTCCCTTTATTTCATGTAATTATCACAGCGATAAAGGGGTACTGTTCCCTTTTAGAGCCCTGAGCTCAGGGAGGGCGGGAGCCTAGCCTGGAGGGAGCCCTCAACCTGCCCACCCAACCCTAAAGGCTGGTTTCCTGCTTCCCATGTGAGCTCTGAGAGTCTCAGTTTGCTGGGCAATAAAATGGGGACAGAAATCTTTGCTCTATCCACGCCAGAGGGTCCTCTGAGAAAATGTGAGACTGAGGCACCTCCTTACCTCTCCAGCATCTGCAGTGCTTTCCGGTGCAATTCGTCTTGCTTGGATTTCAGAGTTGCTGCAGGAGAGAGGGTGGAGACAGAGCCATGAGGGGCTGCTGGAGGGGGCCAAACCAGCCCCACCCCATCTGGGGCACAGAGCTCTGTGGGGAGAGGCCCCACGGGACCCTGCCTGGCAGGTGCTTGCACTCAAGCAGCTCCTAACGGGTGCCACCCTCTGCCCTTGTTACCAGGGTAGAGGGTATGGGTCTTCCCCTGGCCCCAATCTCCTGGCCTGCTTCTAGGCACAAGAGGTCCTTCTTCTCCTTCACCTTCTTTGCCACCTGGGTCAACCTGACCCTTCCAAAGGCCCACACCTGGAGAGAAAAGCTACCATCTCTGTCCTGGCCACATGCCTCCTTGGGTTTCCTCACTCATGTGGCTTCTCCTCTTTTAACCATTTCAACAAATTTTAGGTGGACAATTCAGTGGCACTAAGAACATTCACCATGTTGTACAACCATGACCACCATCCATTTCCAGAACTTTACCAACTCTAGCAGAGTGTCTGAACCCACTGAACACTAAATCCCTTCCTCCTAGCCCACCAGAAACCTCTATCATACTTTCTCCACGAGGTTTCTTACTTTAATCCAAAGCTGGCACCTTTCTGGTAAATTGAACCTGACTTTAAATGCAGTAGGAAAGGCATTAAAAGCTTTAGCGGGTGCTGAACTCCCTGGGAAGCTTTAAAATGACTGTCGTCCCAGGCTCCAGCCAGACCAGGTCGGAATGCTGCTGGCAGGACCAGGTGTGGATAGATGTCAGAGGTCCCCAGCTTATAAAGCAGTCCTGCTTCTGACGTATATGTGGCGGGGTAGAGAACGGCTTTAATCCCAGAGGATTAAAGTCACAGGGCAGGTCTCTTGCTCTGAGCAAACTGGATTTTGATGAAGGGATTCATGATCCCCCTCACTTGACCAGAGTGTGGAGACCCCAAGGTTCCCTGTCAGAGGCTCACTAATGTCCTGAAGAAACAGCAACCACTGTCACTAGAGAACAAGGAGCGGGACCCCGGCACCCCTCCCTCCCCTCCTGTGCAAGTGCTAGCTGTGGTTACCTCTCACTGTGTGGGGCCTCTGAAGCCTGCTCCTGGGGGCTGGCATTTGGGAGGTGTGGGTGGGAGCTGATCAGCATTCCGGGTTGGGTCTGGGTGGGGGCCCATCCCTCCCTTTCCCTCAAGCTAGGGAAAGATTCAGAGGCAGGTGGCTGCTGACCCCTAGGGGGACACACAGCTGAGCTGGTGAGGTTGGGGAGAGAATGCCAGGCTCCAGGCAGCAGGAGTGGAACCCATGCACCATTTAATTAAATGCCTGCTGTGTACCCAGCTCTATGCCATGCACTGAAAGGGAAGCTGACGATGGTGCTGAGGGTAAAGGTGAACCAGAAGGAAGACACTGTGGGGTCGGGGCTGGTGGTGCATCTCAAGACGACAAGCACCACGGGAGCGGAGGTCAGCGTGGGCCAGGCCAGGAGCTGGGGCTGGGAGGGAGAAAGAACTGGGCCCATGAAGGCAGCGTGTCTGAGGCTGGTGAAGTCTGAGCAAGAGCGAGGATGGACTGAGGGGTGTGTATGTGTGTTCACGTTCACGTGCACATGTATCTCAGAGAAGCTGATGGAGGTGTATTGGGGGGTGGGCACTGGGAGGCCATCAGGAGGCCTGAGTCGCCCCAGCAGAGGCTCCCAGGCCTCGGCACTTACCATCGGAGGCCTGCAGGCTGTAGGTGAGACCCAGCGCCAGGTAGCCCTTGGAGAGGAACTCCCCGGCCTCCTCCCCGAGGTGGATGACAATCATGGCAAAGCGCTCTGCCTCCTCCAGCTGTAGAGAAGAGAGGCAAAGGTTACTGGGGAGGATAGGTATCCAGTCACCAGCCTGGGGCCCTCAGAACTGCAATTCCTTACACCTGACCAGAGAGGCTGGGCAGCTTGTCCAAGGCCACACAGCCACAGAATGCAAGGATTACCTTTCTTCTACCAGTAACTCCCTGGATCTTTCCCCCCAACGAGGGGTTGTGCTAAAGGTCCCAGGGTGCTACCTCTCACAGGGAAGGCTGCCCTCACTCTAGGGACCTCGGCTCTCCAACAGCTGCTCTGCTGAGAGCATGGACCCGGGGCCAAGGCCAGTCTGTGCCGACTCCTTTCCTCCCTCTTTCATCGGTAGTGCCTGTGTCTGCCCCTCCCCTGCTCAGCAGACAGAGGGAAGCCGGGATCGGGGGTGGGCAGGGCTTGAGGACTGGGCCTCGGGGACACGGCCAACCCTGCGGAGCAGAGTGGAGCGGGCTGCTACTAAGGCTCCGGCTCTGAGCTCCCTCCCTGACCCGGGGGAAGCTCCAAATTTTCAGGGGAAAAAGGCCTGGGGCTATTTCTGTCCTGGGAGCAGGAGGGACTGTTCCAGTTGGAAAGGGGCCAACTGGCACAGGTCACATGTGCACACATCACATGCAACACGTGACATGAAAAGGGGATACACAAAGCAGCCCTCACAAGCCCCCTGGGGCACCCAGGGTGGTCAGGCCTGTTGGGAGGTGGGGAGTGGGGGTGGGCAGCTGGCCCACAGGCCTTCCAGAAGCCACCCCCACAACCCAGGAGTGTCATCTGCCCACATGCCTCGTGTGGCAGCATCCCTAAGAACAGTGATTGGTACAACCCTCAGCAAGGGGCTGAATGATTCACACACAAAGCCCCACCACCGCCCAATGTCAAGGCCTCCTTGTGTGGGCCACAGAGGCCCAAAAAGTTATGCTGGGTTCTGTTACGCCAGCCAGAGTGCCCTTGGAGAGGAACTCCATCCCCAAGGTGGATGACCATCATGGTAAAGCGCTCTGCCTCCTCCAGCTATAAAGAAGAGAAGCACCCAAAGTACAAGAAAGGCAGAATGGGTGAGCTAACAGCCCAGAGACAGATTGCCAGAGGGGCTGAATCCCTGTGGCTCTACCACCATCCCTGACAAGGTCAGCCTTTCAGCCCCCTCACGGTCAAGTTCAAGCTGCCAGCCTGGGCAGTGGGCCACCTCCAGATCAGTGGACTGGTCACCGAAAGGATGCAGGAGTCTGGGGAGTTGGGCCTGTAACACCATCACGCCTGAGGTCTCAGGGCTGGGGGGAGGCAGCACCTCAGGAAACCCCACAGCTGCCCGCTGCCCAGTCGCACTGTCTGGGCGGACTTAGGCTATAGACACTGAGATCCATCTCCTGGAGCATGTGGCCAGCAGCACTCAGGAGGGCTGTGGGGCCCTGAAGTCAGAGCCAGGTTGAAAGGCAAGCACAGGACAAGCCCTCTGACACAGGCTCAGTGCCTGACAGACTGTGTCCCAGAGGTCCTCACCTCCCCCCTACTCCAACCGCTTCTCCCTACAAACCTCCACTGAGTCTTCTGCAGCACCAGGCTCTATGCTGGCCTGGCTGGGGAGGCCCAGTGAGGAGGAGGCAGATGCCTGGATGAGCATGCATGGAACTCCTGGGAGCCGACACTAAGGAGGGCCAGGCCCCGCAGGGCAAGGGGGCTCTTAATCAAGGCTCTGCTGTGTGATGCTGGCCTGGGGCTATGGGAGCCCCAAGAGAGGGGCAAACACCTGGCTGGGGTTGTCCAAGGAGGCTGCATAGCTGAGCAGGTACTGGAGGCAATAAGGGAAGGGTAAGTGAGCAAACAGCCCCTTGCCCACTTCCTAATCTGCCACTTCTCGTCTTCCAACTGTCTATAAGTATCATTATGACCTATTCAAACAGATGCGAGCTTTTTTTTAATAAACCACCAAATACGAGTCATAAATAGAATCCAGAAACCTACTGCACTCCATGCATATACATTCTCCTCATGGCCATGTCCTTCTCCTCAGCAAATGCCAGCTTCCATCTCCTGCAACCCATGCAGAGAGGGTGCCAGGAACAAAGCGGAGCAATTACTGGCAAACAGGGGGAAGTTACTCTCCTATTCAGACACATCATACTCTGGATTAATAGAGCTCACCACCGTTCAGCTTTAAAATGTGACAACATACAACCGTAGCTTGTTCAGCTTGTGGTCCTCTCTGACCCCAGGTTAGTAGCTTTCCCTGACCAGTACTTGCCAGCCTTGCCCACGTAGTTTAAAATGGTCTCTAAACACAGTGTTGGTATTTGTCTCAAATCAAACCCACAAGGCTTCAGTGGACCATTTTCCTACATGGCCAATACTATTTTGATTTCAGTTACCTACCACAAAACAGTTGTTTGCATATGGAGTCAATGTAATGATTGCAAAGGAAAAGAAGTCTAATCGATTCTATCAAATACGACAATACACAATATAACATACAGTAGTAATACGTTTATACATGGGTGCCGTAGCCAGCAAAAGAGAAAAATGCTGTCACAGCAAAAACAAAAACCCCAAATATATAAGTATTTTAAATATAAAAATATATTTTAGAAACAGAAAGCATATTTAAAAAATCTACATATAGTGCACAATTCCCCTTCACCTAAGACAAGAGTGGAAATCCTAAAATAGGGCTTTTCCACTTTTGTTCTGAAGTACGAGAATCCCACCCAAATCCAGAGTCAGCGCCACACCCGTGAGTGAGTTTTCCATGCAGACAGCAGGGCAGCCTAGCAGCTAAGAACACAAGCTCGGGGGCCGGACTTCCTGGGCTTAGATCCTAGTTTGGCTATTAACCGTGTGACGTCGGGCTGGTCACTTCACTTTGCTCTGCCTCAGTTCCCTCTTCTGTAAAATGCGGATAACAAGAGTCTGCCCATAGGGTTTCGGGGGGATGGAATAAGGTAATAACATGAGAACGCTCAGACCAGTGCTTGAACAAATGTAACTACAATTATTATTAGTTGTAATTTTAGGTCTATAATTAATTTAATCCCCCAGAATTTTTTTAAGTCCCATGCTAATAGACGGGGCGAATGCCGTCTAGAGAGGAGAGTCCTTGTCCCCTATAGCTACATGAGCTCACTGACAAATTAGGAAGTGGCATCAAAGACGCTCTTGGAATCCAGAGAGGGGACAGTACCGTCTGCCTTGTCTCTGGCCTGACCCTCAGTCCCAGAAAAGGATTGACTCTACACAAGGATAACAGGGTCCCTGCAGCTGTGCCGGGTCGGTCAAACTCTCTGACCCCTCCCCACGGTCTGGGACATACATACGTGTAACCACCCACCTACCCTTGTTACAAGATTCACGTCTATTGTGGGTAATACACTCGGATGTTTCCTATCCTGTTCTGATTGCCTACTTCCATTTTTAAAAAGAGTTCTACTTCACAACCTGCTAATGGTCCTCAACCTGTGATGTGAAAAGGGTAAGTTTAGTTGTTGTTTTTTTAATTGAAATACCATCAGTTACAATGTGTCAACTTCTGCCGTGTAGCACAACGTCCTAGTCGTGCATATACATACATATATTCGGAAAAGCAAGTTGTTGACTGAATTGCCAAGCACCTGCCCATCTACAACACCCTTGCCGTCTTTCTCCCCGCCAAGGACCTCCTCTGCCCTTTCCCATCTCCCTGCACTTCCTCCTGTGGCCCCCAAAGTTAACAGCTGATGGCTCTGGGGTTGTGGCCACTGCTTTCGCAAGATTCACTCAGGTTACAGTACTGGGCCCTTCCTTCTCATCAAAATACTTCTAGGAGGAGGGGTTTTCAAAGCTTTCAACCATTCTCCTCCTACGCTGCTTTTTAATACTTCCTTTACCTGTGGCAGCCATGTAACTGCCACAAGACCCAGGTAGAGATCCTCCCCCTCTTCCTCCCTCGCAATTCTCCAACGGTTTGGTGCTCACCTGGCATGTCACAGCACTGTAGCCACATCACGGAACGGGTATTTCATAATAGAGGGTTCTGAGGCACAAGGATTTTAGGGGACCGATTCAAGGTCACCCGGCTTGTAAGTGCCAGAATCGAGTTTCCAACCTAGAAGTAAGCTTCCAATCGAGCTTCCAACTCAGGTCTCCTGAGCCTACATTTGAATCTATCTGAGCCACCTGATTCGTGGCAGCCCTCTGTGGTTCTGCATTTCTCCTCCTCTCTGACCCTTTGGGAAAAGGATGCACGGAAGGATGTAACATTTGGATTCTTTGCTTTTGTTTTTCATAAGTAAGGAAAATGTTCCCGTGCCTTTCCAAGTTCCTGCATCTCTCCAGTTCTCCTAATTTGGTCCCCACACAGGCAGGCTCCTGGCTTTGCACTCTGCTCCTGCTCGGCCTGCCGCGCTCATCTTGCAGTGGGCCAAAGAGGTTGTCCCCCTGGAATCCTCACCTCTTCCTCCCCTCCTGGGAACCAGAGAAAGGTCATGTCGGAGCCCGCAGGGCTCTGTTTAAACAGCCCCTCTGGTTTCTCCTTAGTCGCTTGCCCTAGGGCCCAGGACCTGCTGTTATCTGCTCTAGTGAAAACGCACTTTTTTCTTCCTGGAAGGAAAAGGCACTCTTTCTAATTTCCACAAGCTAGTGGCAGGAGAGCTGGCATTCTTTCTTCCCTGCCTCCTACCCTCTCCACCCCTAAATCTGAAAAATGAAGGCAAAAGCACAAAGGCATGCCCTGTGTGAGAGGCAGCTATTCTGCAGGGGCTGTCACAGGGACAGCTGCCATTTCCCAGCTACCTCCCATGTGCTAGGTACCTGCCTCAGCTCTGGTGGTCACAGCCACCCTGCAAACTGTGGCTGTTTCCAGGTTACTGATGAGGCACAGGGTGGGTCAGTTACTCACCCAAAGTCACACAGCTTCTAAGTGGCAGGGCAGGGATTTCCTCTCCTCTCAGCTGCTAAAGCCTGCACTTTTTCCACCACCCTAGACCAACCCTTAGGGGAAGAGGCTGAGAAACAGCACCATAGACCTTTCCACAGATGAGTACAGCCTGCTTTTCCATTCCACAGCCTCCCTTCCTGCTGTGTGTGACACACAGCACACATGGCATCCCCATCTCCTATCCTCCTAGAAAGGTTTTAACTTTTTAAATTAAATGAACTTGAACTAATGGTGTTTGGAGGGATATGAAAAAATATTTACAGATATTCTGCCCCAAATAACCAGCTGGGGACCTTGGCAAGATGTTGGCCATGCTGAGGCGAGAGGCTGCCACATAGCTGTCACCAGGTCAGAGCCCGGGATGCCCTCCCCAACCTGGGCAAGCCTCAGGCTAAGCTGTGGGGCCAGTGCTCTCACACACAACCCGTCCTGCTGTAAACCCCACAACAGCCAGCAGGTGACCACACAGGTCTCTCTGCCTGGCCCCCTCCTCACCCACCCGTACCCAGGGGCAACCCTGCTCTCAGACCCAAATCCAACCTGGGGCGTCCTACACTGGCTCTGGGCATGAGGACAGGGTGCAGGGACAGCAGGTGCTCCGCCTCTGGGCATGTGGCCACCTAGTCTGGTTTCACTCAGCACAACTCGTTTTTCCAATGTCCCAGTTTCAGCCTCGCTTCCTGCAACCTAGGCCGAATTGTCCAGCCCAAATCTCCATCCCTTGCTCATGGGGCTTGGCTGGCCAATGGCTGGGCCTGCTGGGGCTGACATGAGCCCAGATAGCTGTGAAGGCTGGAGATAGAGGTGGTGTTAGACGCCTTTCAGGATCTGTGCCCCATCCCGAGCACCAGCACCAATGTGCCCACCAGTCAGACCCATTCCTCCTACTCTAGGCCTTGAGGACAGAGTGGTGGGCCGCCCCTTTCCTGGCCTCCTAGAACAGGCTGCTCTTGGCTACCCACAGGCCTGCTCTCGGCCCAGCACCAACCCTGGGGGCCAGGGAGAACCATGAACCAGATGTAGGCTTCCCTCACCTTCCCTTGCAGCCAGCTGGTGGGGGTGTCATATTGTAAGATATATTTGAACACCTGCTATGTGCAGGGTTCTCTGTAGGGGAGAAGGACTCAGGGTGTAAGACACAGTAGGTGAAGAAGCTCCCCATCTAGACGGAAAGGCACCATAAGGCAGAATTCGTTGCCTAGTGGTTGTGCTCATTGGCAAGTGGGATCTATCCAACAAGAACCAGGCATTAACTCTGGGCTGGAAGGGCCCACTACCGGCTGGCCTTCGAGCCCAGTCCAAGGCCTCCTTCTCCTGGAAGCCTCCCTGAGCTGTCCAGACCCTTCCATACTTTGTCATTTGTGCCACATATAAGGAACAGGGAAACTCTTAACCCACCTTATCTGGGCTGGGGTTTCCAGAAGGAGAGCTAGTTCCTATCTTCAAGAAACACATGCAATGAGAAATACAATGCCATGTGCCAAGTGTCCGAGGCAAGTATAAACAGGGCTTTAGGGAGGTACAGAAGGTGAGGTTCCAGGGCAGTGAAGGCTGCCGGGAACCCACCCCAGTCCTCCAGCAGGACCTTGCTCCAGCCTGTGCCCGATTTAAACTCTGGCTCAAACCAGCCCCCAAACCCAAATGTGCTTCTTTGCTGAGGTTAAACAACTCATCTTTCTCCGATTCTGATGACAAGTCTGCATGTTTAAGTCTCCTTTTGGGCTTTTCTATTTATGTTGTCATTGATTACTTTGCTTCTAACTCATCTGATTTCAATTTGGACTGATTTGATCCTAATTTTATTACCATGTAATCTGAATGCACATAATTACTGTAATTATGCTGTTGAGGGAAACGGCTCCTCCGCGGCGGGAAGACCTAAATTTAGGGCTTCCTGGCAGGGGCGGCCGTTGGCTGGGTGGACTCACAGCCACCTCAGAGCCGGCAGCTCCTGGGAGCACAGATCTTCTCCCCGTCCCACCCTCACTGGGTATTTGGGCCTCATCCCAGTGATGAGTTTAAGGCCCTTCTCAGGAGCTCTGGGAACACGCAGGGGTGTGAGCTACGGGCTCAGTGAGCCCACCCCCTGTATCCTCTGGCTCACACCACCACCTGCTGCTGCACGTGCTCAGCCTGGGTGTCTACTCTGCCAGCACCCATACACTGCACACATCCCAACGGCACCCTACCCTCTAGGGCGCAAGATGCCAACAGTCTCCCTAAAAATACCTGAGGATCAAGGAGTTTGCCTGCTAATCACGGGGCTGAGGAAAGCAAGCTGCGACGGAAAGGCCCACTACCGGCTGGCCTCTGAGCCCGGGCCACGGCCACCACCTCCTGGAAGCCTCCCTGAGCCGTCCAGCTCTTTCCATATTTTGTCATTTATGACACATATGAGGATCAGTGAAACTCTTACCCACCTCATCAGGCTGCCTCATCTAAACGCCTAGAGCCTATTGCAAATCAATCTTATAGAACAACATCACAAAGCCTGGGGTCAAAAGCCAAGCTTCCCCCTCTTCCATCATTCACAGTCCGGAAGAGCCAAGGCAGGGCCCTAAGGGCACTTCATACATGGGGACCTGAGGACCAGGGAGCAGAGGGGAAGGTGCTGTTTCCACACTCTCCTGACAGGGAGGCACTACGGCAGAGAGGGGATGAGGCCCACTTGGTAGGGAGGCAGGGATTCAGGAGAGAGGGGGTCCTCAGGCAGAAAGGGTTAGAATTTAGAGTCTCCATCTCCAGGGCTGGAGGAGTGGAAGAGGCTAATTCTAAAGTGCCTGTGGTATGTACCTGGGCCCCTGTTGCCTTGGAACAAGCTGGGCCCATGACAGTGAGGGTAGGAAGGACCATATATGGGAGAAACTCCTGGGCCAATGAAGGAACTGGGCCTATTAGCCTGAAGAGAGGAGAGGTGGGTGGGCTGACAGCCAACAGGCGAGAGAGATGTGCACTGTTCTATGCTCTACGTTGCTCAAGAGAGTGGCAATGGGACCGCCCCTGACATCAGGAGGCTGACGTGGACCTTAGGAAGCTAGGAAAGTCAGCAAGGGAGCTCCCAGAGAGAGAAGACATCCATGTAGAGGCCCTGCCTCAAGACGCACCCTGCCCAGGCCTGGAGCAGCAGCTGAGGTAGTCTGTGGGGCGGAGAGAGCACCAAGGCAAGGCCTGAAGCCGACAGAAGAGGATGCCTTTCCATTCTGCCCAGAGCTAGTTTTGACTTTGAAAGATGGGCTAGCCCAGGTAACTCCAAGGTCCTGCCTACTTCCCACAGCTGGGCGGGTGGGGGCATCTGGACTTTTGACTACATTTGGCTCCCTGGAGACATTTCAAGGCTGAACTTAACAACCCAGCACCATTCTGCATTAGGGGGCAGCGGCTGGAGTTTTCTCAGACATTTCAAGGCTGAACTTAACAACCCAGCACCATTCTGCATTAGGGGGCAGCGGCTGGAGTTTTCTCAGAAGCCTTTCTCCACCCCTTCCCCCGCAAGCCTGTCTGCTTCGCAGCTCCCCTCACCCTTTACATACACGGCAAGATGCGCCCACCCCCACCTCATGCCCACCTGCCACAGGAGGCTGCCAGGACCTGGGCCCTGCCCACCCCTGACCCCGTAGCTCACTCACCCAGTGCAGGGACCCTATGCAGACCTTGGCAGCCATCAGGGGCACGGTGGGGTCAGAGGGCCGCAGCTTCACACATTCCCGCAGCAGCGACACAGCATAGGATGACTGCAGGAGAAATGGCAGGCAACACTGTCACTCACGGCCCTGGGTTGCGACAGACTGGATACCTCAAGTTCACAGTGGGGGCAGCTCCCAAGCAATCAGCCCTTGCTCTGCACACCTCTCCTCCAAAGCCAGGAAGAAGCCAGGCGGGAGGAGCCCCGGCAGTGGTGGCAGCCAAGTCCCTCCTGGGTCTCAGTTTCCTCCCCTGGAAAAAGAAGGCTGTGACCTTTGCCCAGAGACAATGTGACAAGAGCTAAGGTGTCAGCAGAGGGAAGCTCTTCAAAAGGACTCCAAATGTGAACCAGAGACATGTTAGAGGTTTAGAAAGGGGCTCCCTCAAACCTCTGAGTTCAACACCCTTGGTTTAAAGGTGATAAGATGAGGACAAACCTACTTAGGGACATGGATGCAGGGCCGGTGGTGGGAAGTAGGGGGAACATAAAAGCTAGCCGGGAAAGAGCCTGAGACAAGCCATGGAGATGGGGCCACACCAGCAGTGCTGAGGATGCCCAAGCGCAGAGGGAGGGCTGGGGGGAAGCACTAGAGCCGGGCAGGCCCATCACCAATCACAATAATGAGAAGAACACCAGCTAACCCTGATTTGCGTCTTACTAGGCACTAGGCACTGTTGTAAAGTCAGAGGTCAGCAAAACCCAGCCTACATCTGGCCCTCTGCCTGCTTTTGTAAACAATGTTTTATTGGAACTCAGCCATGCCCGTTCTTGTGGGTATTGTCTACGGTTGCTTTCCTGATGCAAAGGCAGAGTGCAGTAGTTCCCAGTGGAGGCTGTTTGGCCTGCAAAGTCAAAAATGTTTACTACCTGACCCTTTACAGAAAGTCTGCTGACCCCTGTTCTAGGTGCTTTATAAATATTAAGCCATTTACTTTTCACAGCTCTCCTATGAGGCAGGCGCTATGTCCCTATTTACAAATGAGGAAACTGAAATGCAGAGAAGTAGCCCGTCTGAAGTCACATTCGCCCATAAGTAGCTGAGCTGAAGTTTGAACAGTCTGCTCTAAGCTTGTAACCACTGCCCTATCCTGCCTCTGCAGTGACAGCTTTGGCCAGAGGGGAGGCCTCTGTCTCCCCACTACACACACACAGAGGCAGGAGCAAGTGTATGTAACTACAATTCCCACAGGCAGGGCTGTACTGTGGACTGAACTCCCCATCACTAACTAGCTCTCACCCTCCCCAACCACTCCGGTGGCCCTGCTGAGGAAACGGGGGCTCTGGAGGGCTCCCCTATCCACAGCACAGTGTGAGGACTGGGATATGCAGGCCTAGGGCCCCACTGGTCTGTGCCCGCCCATCCTGGACCCCTGCCTGTCTCTCACTCCTCCTCCTTTCCCTGTTGAGAGAGGAAGAGCTTTTCTCAGCCCAGACACGACAGACTTCCCTGGGCTCTGGGCTCAGGGCTCAGGTTGAGGGCTTGCTCTGCACCAAGCATGGGGCTGGGGGCTGGGGGGTGACTGCAGGAAGGCGAGCTCAGACAAAGCCCTGCCCCGCTGCTCTCTCAGGAAACAAGGGTATGAGGCCGAGACCAAGAGACTGTTAGTATATGACCAGCTGGGAGGCTGGGAGACTGCAGGGGGTGTTGGGCCTGGGCTGGAGTGAGGGCAGCCATCCCCGTCTTCTGAGAGAGACTCTCTCCTGTGAAGGCCACTCACAGTCCCCTCTGCCTACGCACCCCAGCAAGCCTTGGCCTCCTTTCCTGGCTGCTGACCTCTGCACCCTGGAAATACAGCTTCTCTAGCCCGGACCCTCCACGTTCCTCCCCGACCACAAAACACTGCTATTTAAGGAGCCATCTGAGGACTCCACAGTCGGAGCTGCAGCTCTTTTTTTTTCTTTTTTTGTCATGCTAGTTACCTAGCAACACAGCCAACGTGATTGCCGAAGAGATGGAGAAGAAGCTACCTAAATCATGCCATGGAACTCATTCTCTCTTCCTGCAGGTTGAGGTGCCACATATATTTATATCTGCCTTGCCTCACCTTCTAGAAGACCTTCTATGTACAATTGTAGGTACAGAACCTTGACTCCCACCTTAGGCTCTTGGCAAAGGTGAGGTCTGTCCACCCTTCCAAGGGCTGCCTGGGCCAACCAGGCAGACTGATCTGGTGTGCAGGGTTCCTGGGGGAGTGGGGAGTGGAGAGTAGAGAGTGGAGAGTGTACTTCCAGAACAATCTCCTGCTGCATCAAATGCAGGGGTGGGTGTAATCCGTGTCTCCAGCCTGTGGGGCCTCATACATGAGGAATTCACTGATCACCCCAACTTCCTACCTAAAAGTCCATTTTTTGAGCCCACCTTGCTGGCCTGGGAAGGAGCTGGACTGGGATACCAGCACCCTGGATCCTGGGATGTGCCAGGTTGCATCTGGACCTCTCTGAGCCTGGCTCTTCTCAGTAAGGAGGTTGAAGACCTCCCAGGCTAATGTGACATCATCTCCAGAGACTGGGGGCTTCCAGGAGCACCCCCGGAAATTAAAGCAAACTTCCATGTGCAGTGCATTATTCTGAGGAGGGGTGCCCATCATTCATCAGCATCTCAAAGGGGTCCATGACCCACAGAAGGGTGAGAACCATTGTCCTGGCCCTGGGCCTCTCCTCCTGATCCATGTGCACTATTACAAGACTAGAGGCATTTTCTGTTTCCCAGAGGCAGTAAGCTGTTGCAGGCCAGGCTCCAGTAAGCTCCAGCCTGACCCCTGCCCCTGCCCTAGGTCTCGTGCTATCTGTGTCTGAACTCTCCCTGAGCCTGGACAAGACCTTGCTGAGCACAGAGCTAGGGGACACTGTGGCATGACTTCAGGATGCCCTAGGAGGTGGCCAATGTGATGGCAAGGGGAAGAGGTTTGGAAAGACAAACGCCTAGCAAGGTAAGGGGGGTGCAGAAAAGGCTCCTCACCTGATGCTCGGCTGTATTTCCCTAGTCCCTTCCCACCTGTCAGGCTGCAGCACCTGCTCTTCTGCCTGCTCCCTTACCAGGACCTGACCAGCACACCCTCCATTCGTGGAGGAGGTGCTGGCAAGCCCAGGAGGGCCCTGGCTGCGAGGCTCGAAATGGCAGGTGGCGCAGATGGGTTGGGGGAGGAATTCCCTTAGCCCCACAAACGGGCTGTGGGTGTTTATAGCTCTGAGAACGATCTGTGAGCCCATGCCACCTTATTTCCTGCACTCGTAGCATCCTCAGCCCCAACACCCTCAGCACCCAGCTCCGGAAAGGTTTCCTTTCATGCCACTGCTGAGAATAGAGGCTTATGTAATTATGTGATTCTCATCGGAGCAAAACCAAGGGGTGCGGGGATGGGGCTGGGTGGGTAGAGAGCAAATGCAGCTCAGGAGACGGGGGTAAGGTCAGCCCTGCTCCGGGCAGAACTCCTCCTGATCACCCCACCACGCCCACCTCGCAGTGCTCCCCCAAACTCCCTCATGGGGCTCTGCTCTATCCTTCAACCCCTCCCTCCTAGGCAAGTCCTGGATTTATGGGAAGGTTCCTTCTTGACACCAAGCCCGTGGGCAGGAAGAGAGATGCAGCCCAAGTGGAACAATGGAACCCACGTCCATGCTTGTCTCATGTAGTCACACCAACCAACTCACAGATAGAAATGCCATGATGCCCCCGTATACATGCACATATGCTCAGAGAAGAGCACCCATGGACTCACACCTGCACATCCGGCACACTTGTAACTCACAAGTAGACACCAGATTCACACAGGGGTCTGTGTGTGACCCTCCCGTGCCCCTCACTCTCCTGGAGACTAAAATCAGCTGCTGGACAATATTTCTGAATCACTGCACCGCCCTCTGCCCACTTCTGGGAGAGACTAGAGCCCCCAGCACACCTTGAGTCTTACCTTCCCACAAGCTACCATGGAGAGGGCCACCTGGTACCAAAGATGAAATTCTCCAAAGGCAAACTTCATGGCTCGTTCCAGGCACTGGGGAGAGGGAGATGGTCAGCACCTCCCCTCCAGGGTCCTCCCACCCTCAGCCCCCCCCATATCCATCCAGCGTAATCACTGCCCAAGTTGCTTCCCGCAGGAGGCTGCCAGAGGCTTGTACTTGGTTCCTGTTAGAAAACGCCAGGAATAACCTGTCTCTGCCACTGGCCTGCTCTCGCCCTCTCTGGCCCTCGGCTCCCACTTTTCTACCTGTGAATGTCTCATGGGATGATGGATACAAGTGAGTGAAATGAGATTTGTGAAAGTGCTTTCAAAATGTGAACGTCCAATAAAAATAATAACAGCTGACATTTCTTCTTACCATTGTGCCGGGCACCATTCTCAGTGTTCTACGTGTATTAACTCATCTACTCTTCCCAACAACTGTGTGGGGTGGGTTATCTAGTTACCCCCATTTCACAGATGGGGAAGCTGAGGCTTGAATGACTTGCCAGAGTCATAGTGCTGGTAAGAGGCAAAGCTGACTGACTTCAAAGCCCGTGGACAGAACATCACCCAAAAGTACAGGCTTCATTCTGCTCTCCTCTACAACCCTGGAGAAAAATCATTTGCTCCCTGGGCCTGTTCAATCCTGGGCCACCGCAAGTCAGGGGCAGCCTGTGAGATCTGACAGTCCCCAGCAGAAGTGGTTCCATGTGAAAGAGGCAGAAGCCAGCATGTGAGGCCAGGATGCACTACATGGTCATGGTCATGGCGGGTGAGGGTGACAGAGGTAAGGGGTACAGGACCCGACGGCAGGCACTTTCAGAGCTCGGTGGCCTGGGTTCCCCCATGATGGCCCAACATGCACACCCTGCATCACCCTGGGCCGAAACCTACCTCTCTCGGCCCCACCTTCCTCACTGGTGAACTTGAGAGACCACTCATCCCCCCTCACATTAAAGGAGGTATCTTCTGGAAGCACCTAACACAACGCCTGGTGTGAGCAGGGGCTCAGCAGGTGTCACCACCCCTCCTCTCGGGAGCCGCCCCCAAATACACGGAAAGAGCATCTGCTGCTCAGAGGGCCACCTGCACAAGGAGCCAAGGGCCCAGAGCCACCCCTGATCCCTGCGGATCTGAACGCTCTAAAATGTGTGTGTGCCATTCGCACTGTGGGCAGGGGGCAGGAGAGGGGCAGCTCCGTGCTCCCGGTCCCCACACCCCGGAGAGCCCAGCCCATGAGGCGCTGCCCCAGCAGGGTCTGCCCAATACAACAGGGGTGCTCTGTCCAGCAGGGATGGGAGGGGATCCAGGCACACCTGACTCAGAACCCTCCCAAGAACGGAGCTGTACCCCTTGGTGAAGGCAAGGAAGGGACAGTGGAGGACAATCCTCCATTTGACATCCTCTGTGGGGTCCTGACTCCAGGGGATGGAGTAGGGGGGCCGTACCTCGGAGAGCATGACGTACTGCCCCCTCCTGCCCAGCGTGATACTCAGGAGGTCGTAGATGGCCGCGGCGTTCCGCAGGCTCACTGCCCGGTCCTCCTCCTGCTCCGGGGCCCGGCTCAGCACCACATCCCGAGTAGCCTGCGGGGAGACACAATTTAGGAAAGGTCGAGGACTGTGTGCCTGTCCCCACAGGGCCCCTTCCTCAGAGACCCAGTGACTGTCACTCTTTGGCCACTGACCCAGGCCACTCCTTTTCCCACCCCCATGAAAGAGAGCAAACCCTCCCCCCGGAGCCCAGGCTGGGGTGACAGAGCAGTCCTGCGGACCCATGTCTCTGGTTTCCAATGTTTTATTCTGCAAGATCCCAAACCTACATAAAAGTCGCAAGAATAATCCCACAGCAGTAAACCCAGTTGTTAATACTGACCACATGTGCCCTGTCTGTCTGTCTTTCTCTAATGATAATACTAGCAGTACCAGTCAGTTAAGGCAACACGGCCCTTCACCCCTAAATACAAGAGGACATTCTTCTTATAACCACAACAGAAATGCCAAATTCAGGAAGTCTAACACCCCTATTTCCATCCTTTAGTACTAGCTTATATTCAGATTTTGCTGCCTGTCCCACTGACGGCCTTTCTGGTACTGTCTCATCCCAGGATCCAACCCGGGACCACGCCGAGCATGCAGGTGTCACGTCACCTGAGTCTCCTTTCATTCAAAGAGTCCCGCAGCCCTTCTCTGCCTGCCAGGACACTGGCATCTTGGAGGATACAGGCCATCTGTTTCGTGGAACAGCTCCTTGTGTGTTTGCTCTCGTCCACTCACAGAAAGAGCTGCAGGTAATATCTGAAACTGTCTTGATCGGGTGAGTGGCTCTGCAGCTTGACTCACAGAATGGGAGCCTGGGCAGTGGCCTCTCAGTGCCCTCTTCTCTTCCTCTGCAGGTCCCCCAAGTCCCCTCTGATAAGGACCCCCCCATACCTCCTTCCCATCACCCCTGTGTCCAGCCCAGATTCTTCTGACCACAGAACTCTCTCCTCTCTGTCCCTCCCCAGAAATCTCCCCACAACCCAAGGTCTCTAGGCTTGGCGTCCAATACTCAGGTGTTTAGCTCAGAGTTGCCAGGTGGCTGCTCAGAGAGCGAGGAGGTGAGGGAAAATGAGCTTTAGGAGTGGGAAATTCAAGGGAGGAGCCCTGTATCACCAAGCCTGAAATCTCCCCATCGGGAAATGGGGGCCCTCTTGTTCTGTGGCCCATGGTCACACCCCATCTTGTACACTCACACGCTGGGGACAGCACTCAGACTCGGGAGTAGCTAAACAGGAGACCCAGATCCCACTGGTCAGATCCCACCAATGTGTCCACAGGTTGTCTTCACCACCTCCCTCGGGGCAGGACTACTATCCCCTCCTTCTCCAGGTCAGGGGCTGAGGCTCCCAAGGGTGATGGCTGCAGAGGCAGAAGCTCAACAGCCTTTGGACTGTCGGCTCTGGATGTGTCCTGCTGTGCAGGCCTGAAGTGGGTTCCATAGAGGCTTCTAGAAGGCAAAATGCCTATGAGACCCAAGGATGTGATTCAACCACAGAGGCATTTCAGTATGGCAGGCCAGTGGCCAGGGGTCCTGATGGCTGCCCCTCCAGGCACAACAGGCAAGAGCTGCCCATCACCCTGACGGACATGGACCATCCCCAGGAGAGGGTGCTGGGGGTGCCAGGAGATGCCCAGAAAGGCTGAGCACTAGTGCCAGCCTGGTCAACAAGAGCCGGCCAGGCTCCGAAGAGTTAAGGGAGAGGAGTGGAGTGGGAAAGAGCCAGAGAAATCTCCCTCCTTCCTGGTGAAATCCACCCACACTGGCACCAACAGGAAGAGAGACGAAATTCTAAGGAGAGCCTTGGCAGGAGCTTTTTCACCGAGGAACACAAAACTCACTCTGCCCCTGGCCAGGAACCTCCCCACTCCTCCACCTCCAGCAATTCCCCAGCTCTGGTCTCCCAGGGTGGGGCCAGGAGGGGGAGCCCCCCACCAGGCAGCAATGAGGGTTGGGGGGCAGTTAGGGAATGAGAGGATGGAGACACAGTTCCTTCCCTTGGGGAGGGGCTACAGAAGCGAGAAGCAGCAGCAGCACACGATGCACAGACTGAGCGGAACTGCCCTAGAGCTCTCGGTGGGGAGAGGTCCTGATGGAACGGGGGCAGGGCAGGCAGCCTGCACAGGTGGCTCTTCTGCAGGGCGTGGGGGGAAGCCTGCCAGGCACATCCAGGACCTCGGGACCCACCCATGTGGACTAGTCTCATGCAGAGGATGGTCAGCAACAACCTCTGGCTGGCCTGTCCTCCAAGACTAGCCCCTGCCAGACCCCAACTCCCAACCCCCAGCCCAGGATAAAGTCCTAGCTCCTTTCTGTGGCTGACAGGGGGCCTGCCCACTTAGCCAGCTTCTCCTCTCCATTAGCTCCCAAGTCCTTCCCTACAGCTTCCTCTCCTCACCAAGCCTGTGTTTGCTTTTGTCAACATGGATGTCTCCTGGCTCCTCCAACCTAACTCAGGTATCCTTTCCTTCCACCACTGGGCCCCCCTCATCTGCTCCCAACCCTGGGCACACACTCTGGCCCCTGCATGCCCCGCTGGCTCATCAGATCTTGGGGCAGGCCCGCACACAGCACTTTCAGGTGACATTCGAAAGAGAAAGATTTCTGGGCCTGGTGTGGACACTTCCTCCTGTTGCCCGAGACCTTGATCTTTAAGAGAACAATGTCTCTGAACGTGTGCCTGGTGGGAGGGAGGCATGGATTTCCAGTACTGGGCAAGCATGAGGTCAGAAAGACAGGAACAGAGGAGGGGATTACAGCAGCATCTCATCCTCCTGCAGACCACCCCCACCCCCAACATGCAGACAGCAGGGGAGGCATCTTCTCAGGGGGTCCTCAGGGCTTGGCACCTGTGCCAAGAAGGAAGCGTGGGTCCCTAAAGGAAAGCCCAAAGCAGAAGTTTGCTAAGTGGTTGCTATGGTTTTGGGGCAGGGCTGTGGTGAAATGCTCCACTGCGTGCAGGGCAGCTGGGCAGCGGCTGCGTACATAACCATGGTAACAGGGTAGGGTGGGTCCAGAGCAGAAAAAAGGAAATTGTGGGGGCTGGCAACAGGGTAGGAATCCCCATGCAGCTCAGGTGCCAGAGCAGGCCTCAGTGCCCAGGGCCTCAGACCCTCTGGGGGCTTCAAGTCCCTGCCCAGGGTGCCCCAGGTGTGCTACTCCATCCTCCGCTGGGCGCACGTCCTTGAGGCCAGGCGATGCTCACAGCTCCATCAGCAGCCTGCCCTGAACCAGTCCCAACCACACTCTTTCCCTTCCGCCATTTAAATGTCCTCACCAGAAAATCCTCTGGATCACGTGCAGTGACAGACATGAATATAGAGAGTAAACGTTCTTCTCACCATGGTGCTTCTTACTCGTCTTGGGAGTAACAGCAGGCTATTCTCCTCTGCTTTCCCCTGCAAAACCCCAGGGCCCCCCACCTCTGGGGGTGTCCTGTTCTGGTTTAATCCATGCATTTAATCCCAGGCAGGGCTTAGCAGCTGTCCCTGCTCCTAGCCTTCGGCCCTCTGCTGTCCTCCCAGGGGCAGTCTCCCCAGACTAAGGGACATTTACCCCAGGCCCCCAGCAGGTCAGAAGAGGAAAAGCCAAAGAAACGTGCTTCTCTCCATCCCCCCATCATCCAGCATGACCCACTTGTGGTCTTTGGACAAGTATCCATGGAGCAAATATGGGACCTTATGAAAACACCCTGGAGCGCATCTCCATTTCCTAAGGTACATCAGCCCACAGGACACCTAAGGCCAAGTGGTTCTTGCTCAAATAGGCATTCCTTATGTGTGTGCCATGCATCTGAGGAGCTGAATTATCACTACCATCATCTCATCTGGCCTCATAGTACCCTCATGAAGGGGCAGAATGAAACCACCGAAGCCCCCTCTGCAGTCCGGCGGCCAGTCCAGGACGCCTTCTGCTGCCTCATGGGACTCCTCGGCCAGCCCCAGTCTGGACCCTCTGCTGGCTGCAGGGCTGCAGATGGCATGGACCTTCACTTGGCCCAGCCCTGTTTCTCCTCTCTGGTCCTGGACACAAAGAGGGTAGGAGAAGGAACTAACTGGTGAAGCACTTGGTAAGTGGCATCTCGTAATTCTCAACAACAACCTTCTTCAGTTCTATTGTCCTATTTTATAGATGAGAAAACTGAGGCCCAGAAAGGCTCCTCAAGACACAGATGGGGGTTTAGGACCCAGAATAGAACCTAGATATTCTGACTTCACTCCTGGCTCTTCCCTGCCTCCTGGTGCCTCTGAGGAAGTGTCCACTAGCCCCGCCCACACCATCAGAGGCCCTGGGGTGGCTCTGCTTAGGAAGCATCAAAGCAAAACACAAGGCTAGGCTTTCTCCATCTGGCCTCAGGTGCTGCTTCTCTGCAGAGAACAAGCTCCTTGGACCACGTGTCCAGGGTCCTGCTCAGCCCTGCTCTCAGACACTCTCTCCGCTGGCCAAGGAGCCAGCTTTAGGGACCACTGCTCACCCCAGAAAGGAGTCTCCTGGGAGCATCTGTGCCTAGTGCCTGCCCCTCCCTGGAGGACGCTGCCATGTTCTCCCTATGCTGTCATCCCCTACAGCAGACATAATTACCACCGGCTCTTGAGCTGCCAGTCTACCGAGCCAAGAAATAACATGCTCTGTGCCGCATCCCATCTACCCAGCGACCCAGGCCGGGCCCACGCCAACCCCCGCCCTCCTGCAGCATTGGGCTCCTGCAGCAGGAATCAGAGCTCTTCCTGCCAGCGCGGGCGAGAGGCTCTCCCACCTCTGCTGCTCCGAGTGTTCTGAGCTGGCAGCGTTAACAGACCCTTTACTGTGGCAGCCTGCAGCACGGTGGGGCCTCGTGTAAAAGCAAACCAGGAGCCAGGAGCTGGAACAATCTGCGCTCATCTGCCCAGTCCCCGATGGAATCAAGCCCAGGAAGCACTTATTTTTTTTTAAACCGAACAGTATCCTCAAACCAATTTTTCTCCCAACCAAATCTGAGCCGAAATGTTTTCAAAAATTGCTGAGTCAGAACCCAGGATTTATCAGGATAAAACAAACACGTCTTGGACATCCACAATGTACCAGGAACCTTCGTGTTCATTTTCTTACTTCATTCGTGCAATCCCTCCAAGAGACACCTTATTAGCCCCATTTTACAGATGAGAGAACTGAGGCTCAGGGAAGCAAGACGCATGCCCAGGCTACACAGGTGGTGAATGTCCAATTCAAGATTCAAATCGCTGGATGGCTGACACTAGGCATGGAGGGCAGTTAGTTTGTTAACCCGCAGGGTCCCAGGCCCCAGAGGTTCACCCACCCACCCACACTCACTCAATCAAAGCCCTTTCAGTTCCCAAGAGCCTGACACCAGCAGCAACTTCTCCCCTAGATGAAAGAAACAAGGGCCCAAAGATTCGGATTTTAGATGCCCTAGAGCAGGATTTTAGAAATGGCAGAGTCCTGTACCTCCTGGTTACCCAACTGAGAAAATCAGGCTGGTTTTGATACACGATTCTTTCAAAAGCTAGACTATACACTTGGTATTCAGCAGATTGAGGTAATTCCTTTTGATCTGGGGACGAGAATTTCTTCCATGTCCCTAGACACACACTCCACATCTGGGACAGGGGCGTGGTTTAACTATGCGTCTTTGTAACTCCAGTGCTGAGCACGGCCTGGCACACTACACTGTAGCTGCCCAAACAAGATTAGATGGATGGACAGAGATGAGTAGATGGGTGGGTGGACAGATGGGTGGATGGTAACTGGGTTAGTGGCTGGATGGATGGGTGGGGATGGGTGGGGGGATGAATTTTTAAATGCCCTTTTGGTCCCCAAAACTGGATCCAAAACACAAATCTTCTTCAGCCAGTTACAACTCACATTCCCTTGCACTTCTGTGAAAGCATTTGTAAAGTTTCTATGTGCCTCTCGAAAGACAAGGACTCTCCATTCACTCTCAACACACTTAGCCTGAAGCAAAAACCCTATCCAAGGTACCAGTCCCACACCCAGACCCCACGCAGGCTACTTCTTTGAGTTCCAAACCACAAAATACGGGCTGCTGATGGACTCAGGAAACCTGCAAACACCCTCTCCCAGAGCAGCTGCTCTGGCGACCCTGGAGGCAGAGAGCTGTGATGATTACGCCTCCTGGCCTGGCTGTGCCGGAGCAGCTTTTACTGCGGCATAATGAATTCTGCAGGTGAACCCAAGCAGCAGTCAAGGCAGCCAGCTGCTCCTAGAGTTTTCTCCCCATCATGTGCAGCCAAACCCAGCCAGTATTAAAGGGAGAGGAGGAAAACCCCGCTGGTACGTGAGGCCTGGCTGAGCCTCAGGGGTCAGTTGAGGGGTCAGAGCGGGAGCCCGGGAGGCTGGCAGCGGTGACCACACCTGATGGAGAATGGGACCTGCGGGGAAGGAGGGGGTAAAACAAGGCCAAGTGAGAAGTCAGAGGTGGTCTGTTCACTGAGAAACAGTTTGGAGCCACAGTGGCCAGATCCAGACCCCAGGTGGAAAGCCCCAGTAGAAGACACCAAAGCTACATCCAGCACCCACGTCCTCCCTCAAATATCTGAAGCTTCTAGATGTGTGATAGGCTGGGTGTGAGCAGGAAGAAACCAACCAGCCAGCCCTGGAAGAGAGCCTCCTCCTGGCTACAGTGTACACGGCGTCTGAGCACTTCCTCGGCCTTGCATGCCACAGGGAATTCCCAGGACACCCGCCTGGCCAGCTGGCCTGGGCCCCCAAGTCGCCTGTGTGAGCTGGCTGATCACACACCCTCTTGCAAACGGTAAAGAGCTGCCTGGAGGGAAACTGTATATTTAGGAAAATTCACCTTGGCTCCAAGTGTGGGCCACTTTTTAGTAAAAAGTCATTCTCTACTTAGAGATACAGGGTAGCTTGAGGGTTTGGGCAGAGGGAATAACTTTAATGAAAGACATCTGAACTCTGGTCCTGGGTACCCAGATCGAGCAGTGGCCACAGAATATGCCTGTGGATACAGAGCCCAGCCTCTGCCCCTGCCAGGGAGAAAAATGATGACCATTCTCACCGACAGCTATGTGCCTGTTTACAAAGCCCTCCTCAAGCCCTGCCTCATTTGATCCTCAAAGTTACTCACTGGACCTTTTATAGATGAGAAAATTGACCATCAGAGCAGTTACTGAATCATGGATGTGATTTGAATCATGCCTGCAAGGATTATTAATGTGTGACTATGACCAAGACATGTACCTGTCCTGGACCTCACTCTTCTCATCTGTATGATGGGAACACATTAGTATTAGACTGAATAAATAAACAGTTGTTTTTCACGTGGCTCAACACAATGCCTACCTATATGAGATAACCAGCTTAGAACCTGGCAGAGAAAGGACCTAAGAAATGTTCCCATTTTCACCTTTTTATTTCCAACCTGTGGACCACACTGTAACCCTTAGCACAAGAAGGTGACCGCAATGACCTGTGTTTCCTGAGACAGGTGACTTCAGTACAGTTTCACCTGACGGTGTAGATGTTGAGGCAGCTGACGGGGGTGCAGGGGGAAGCCAGAGGGTACTGGTCTATGGCTGAGGTTCCATAATTAACATAATTAACAGGGTGTAGGCTATGAAAAGTACACCGTTCTCCCATGAAAATCAAATATGGCACTTGGTACCTCCACCTCCACATCGGGCTAACCAACCAGCTAGATGTCCCCTCCCGGGAGCAAACACTGACCCCCAAGCACTCACTCTCCAGACCTTTCAGGACCACGCTGGCCAGTCTGCCCTTGGGATCCTAACACCCACACCCCTTCGTGGGCACTCTCAAATCCAAATGAACTCCACCGCACTGAGGAAGGACACACTCTCTCACCCCTAGACCAGTGTCCCTCCTTCTGTCTACTTGCTGGGGGACCTGCTCAGCCAGAGGCAATCCACTGATCAAAGTTCTCTAAGCAAACCCTGGCATCACACAGACCCAGGTGTCCAAAGACCATTTGTTTCTGGCTGTTTGGTGGAACCCAGTTTCTTGAACTCCACTTTCAGACACTGCTCTCAAATGCATCATTTTAAAACACTTACTTCTCAAACAAGGGGTCCTCAGCTCATAAGCTCCAGGGGGCCCCTCAGTTAGAGGACCCTTGGCTCCTGCTGCTCCTGCCACCCCTCCTCCAGCTCCCTCGGACCACCCATCCCCATATCACCACCTCCAAACCACCCATCCCCATCTCACCGCCCCTGGACCACACAACCACACCTCTCTCCCTCGCTGAGGCTCCGAGGCACATGCGTGCATGTGTGTTTGCCTGGGGCAGGAGAATTGGGTCTTATGAAAATAATCTAAACAGCATTTCACGCATGCTATGTCCAGCACACCTCTCCCCCTCAGCCTTAGAGTCCACAGCACTCAGACACCAAAACCCTGAAGAGCTGAGTAATGAATTCGTTTACTGCCCACCTCCCTCACTAAAATGTAAGCTCCATGAGGGCAGGGAGATTTCTCCGTTTTTGTTTGCTGCTGCATCTCTGGCATCTAGAACAGGGCCTGGCACAAAGTAGATGCCACTCAGTATTCAGAGCTGCATGAACAAGCGTCTTGCACAGGCACCCGTACCTCTGTGAATGCCTGCTGCCCCACAGGGGAGGAGCAGAGGCTCACAGAGACTAGGAGACCTGCCCAGGGCCCTCAGCTGCTGAGAAGCAGAGCTGGGCTCTGCATCCGCGCCTCTGCCTTGAAAGCACACGTTCCTCTACCCTCTTCCGTCGTCACATACCCAGCACAGAGCTGTTCATGCAACATTCGGTTGACTTGCTAAGACCTTTTGTAATTACAGCAGCCGCGGATAAGGGCTGGTTAGCTCAGTCCATGCCCACACCTAAATCTCATGACAAGCCTCACCCCTGGCATCGGGGAGCGTGAGCTTCAGGCCCCACGTGGTAGCCTGTGCCGGAGCCCCACAGCCCCACCTCACAGTGCAGAGGCAGGAGGCCCGGGAGGAGGCCCTGGAGCTTACCATGGACTCGCTGATGAGCAGCAGCAGGAGGGCTTCCTCGATGTTGTCTTTCGGGCAGTAGAGGCTGGAAGACACAAACGGCAGCCCGGCTCCAGGGTGCTGGCCCGCCACACTGGCCCTGCTGCCCCGGAGTCAGCACCTGCCCTGGTAAGGTGACCCTCTCCTGCATAATTCACGGGCACCGGATCCCACTGGCAGCTCTTTATCGTGCCCCAGAGTTATGGATCGAAAAGGCTGCAGTGGACCTAAGGCTGGAAATCCTGCGATGCTCTTGAGGGGAAATGCCCCTTCCAGCCCCCAGCACTGCATGAAGCAGCTGGGGCGAGGAGCAGAGAAGCACAAGGAAGCAGCTTTGCTGGGCCGCTCACAGGGCCCATCTTCCATTATTGGCATAAGCAAGACTGAAGGTGCATTAGGACTACTGGGAAGGTAGGTATCCCCAAATAATTTATTTGGCCTTTGGATGCCTTATAGGATCCCCTGAGCCCCGCATCCTCCACCCCCAAGACCTGCCTTCTTCTCTAGTCTGGCTCCTGCTGATACTGAAGAGCCTGCCTGGCAGTGAGCTGGGTGGTGGCTGGAGAAGAGCGTGGGGCAGAGAGAGGGGCCACCAGTGGGGCTCAAACCCCAGGTATGATGGCATGAGCCTGGCGTGGTCCCCAGAGCAGGTAGGGCTTACTTGTCTCCTTCATAGAGATGAGGTTTCCGCAGGGCCTGTGTGATGAAGGAATTCTCTTCCTTGCTCATGAACTCGGGCAGCGGGTGGGACAGGGGGCTCCAGTAGCACTCCTCGCTCAGGGAGTGCAGCAGGACCCCTGCCAGGTGCTTGGCCGCCATCTGGCAGAGAGGGGGAAACTCAGTCGCAGGCACCTGTCGGCTCTCCCCTGCCGTGGCCTAGCAGGCCCTCCACCCACCACCCAGCCAAATCTGCCTGCTTGCAATGCACTCTCCTTCCGGGAGGCCCACCACTCCACTCCCAAGGAGCCCCCTCACTTCTCTGTGTCCCCATCATTGAGCTGTCCCACCCCTTCTGTTGGCCTCTGATGGCTCCTCCTTTATCTTTTGTCCTTGCTCCTCTCCTAGACAAGAGGTGCATTTCCTTCGCCTCCTGGCCCCAGGGAGCCTGGTACAGCTCTGAGTTCATAGGCCCTTGCAGAGCATAAAGCCACCAGCACAGGCAGCTCTCTCCATCAGATAACTTTCTGATATTGGACTGAAAATTCTAGGGCGAGAGCAGCTGTGGCCCTGATTTGGGGTGAATAAAAGCCTAAGAAGGCAGGTGGGAACTGGGGCAGGAAAGCAAGCTCAGGTTATCTATTAAGATCATAAACAAATCTCTTAAGAATTAGCTCACCACCTTGCTAGGAAGGGATGACAGGCGGTTTCAGCTCTGATCTAATGCTAGGGGTTACGTGTAGCACTGTGATGAGAAGGATGCTGAGGACACATCCTAGGCTGAGAGGAAAGGAATGCTGAGATTGACTAACAATGTCTGCTGTGAGCACAACAGGGAGAGGACAAGCATGCATGCAACACATGGTCATCCCTGATTCAGGGGCTGCCTGCTAGGACTTCTGCTGTTTCCCACTGAAATCGACCCCTGAATAAACCGAATAAACCAGCCACAGCCAGCACCCAGCCCTGGGGCCTCCTCCGTGTTACCACTTTGAAGTTCTGAGTTGCTTTGGTCTCCACAGAGCGCAGGACCTCCCGGAGCTCTCTCATGCCTTTTACGATGTTCCTAGTGGGAAGACAGCAGAGGCAGGGTCATTACCAGCCTAGTTCCCACAAATGCAGCCTCATCAAACCTGCAGATGCTAGGACTGTTTGACTGTTACTTAAAAACATCCAACAATTGGCATGAAAGGTCAGAATTGTAACACCAGGATCCTAGAGGCCCAGCACATCACTGATCAAAGAACAAGAAGGCTCCTTCTTGCCTATGGCCTCCCCAGACACTCAGGCCTCCAGTTCACCACCAGAAAGGGACCAAGACTGAGTATTTCAAACAAGATGTTATCTTGGCCCAAGTGCTTTGGGCTGGTGTCAGACTTTCTGACTTGAATCAGCCTCAAATTCTCCATCTTCACCTGCCACATCTGGTCTACACTGAAATCCATTCTCACCAATCTGTCCCTACCACCAGGGCCCCAGACTGGCCTGCATCACCTGGGGCCTAGACGACAGTGACAGCTGGTCTCACCCTCTCCAGTCAGCCCCCTGTGCCTTAAAGTCATTTTCAAGCTTTTTAAAGTGTGATCCATAGTAAAAACTACATTTGACATTGCAACCCCATATATATGCACACATTGCTTACATGAAACTCAAGTTTCTATCTCTACTACATGCAATGCAATCCACTCTGATATTTTCTATTTTATGTCTCCCCCTACTTTCCTATGTTTAAAATGCTGGTTGCAGCCCACTAAACAGATTTTGCAACCCACTAATGGCTGTGGCCTGAGTTTGAAAAACTGCACCTCACTGCTCCTGGAGGGCTCTGCCGGACATGCAAAAGTCATCTTCTTCCTCCCCAGGTTGGCCCTTCATCAGTGCCCCCAGGCTTACAGAATCCAGTCCGGGCCCTCAGCATGGCATCCCAGGACTGTTGGGTCTGCCCCTTGCCTCTCTGCCATCTCATCTCCTGCCACTCAAGTCCCTTTTGAACAACTATCCACAGTTACCAATGCCAAATCTTGGCACAGGCTTCTCCCACTGCCTAAAAGAGTCCTTCCCCTATTCATCCTTAAAAAAACTTGTGTTTTCAAACATAACTTTCCAACATCATTTTTTCCCTGCAGCCTTCCCAGACCTCTCCCCACATGTGACCCTCCCGACTGCATAGCTCTTGCCCTGTGTTAACTCCTCTTTTGAAGCAAGCATGGCATTTTGCGGTTATTTTCCATTTACAGGCTGACCCCTTTGGCACTGTGCATCCCCTGAGGGCAGGGCTCCTGTCTTGTTCCTGAAGCTCAGCCCTGGCATGTGGCGTGTTCCGCAAATGTCTGAGGACCATCCTCCTCACTTGTTCCAGGGGTTCCCTGGATCACAGCTTACAAGGGAAAGCAGAGGCTTGCCAGGCCAGTAAATTTAGAAATGAGAGATCACAGAGGGTGAAAACCCAAAGGTGGAGGCCAGGACAGTCACGTGAGCCCCTCCTGCATCTTTCATGCATGAAAAAGATTCCTGGGAGCTTTGGAGCCTGGAGCCATAAAAAGATACGACATCAATTCCCTGCCTTCTGGGAACCTCTGGTTTCAGACAAGCAAGCCCCAAATGTGCAAACAACCAACATTATAAACTCAGATCCCTGTTCATAAGGCTGAGAACGGAGATAAAGACCTGTGGGATAGAGTCAGAGTCACAACGATCTTCCCTAGTCTGCTTAGAACTGCTGAAGAACCAGGAGGGGCCGGTAGCACAGGGCATCACAGGGCCCTGAGACAGTTCATGCCTGGGCACTGCTGCTGAGGGCCATGTGGCCCAAGGAGGGGCTCACCCGTGTGGGTTGTGCATGGTCCCTTCCTCTATAAAACCAGGCCCTCAGCTTCAATCAGCATCTCCCAGACTCGGTCATCTGCACACCACATCTATAATTTTTGCCTAGCTGTACACCATCAGTGTTATTATTCTGTGTAATGCTTTTCTTTTTATCTTCTTCCTTTTTATTTCAGTAACTATCTCATTTTAATCAAAAATACCTGAAATCATGGATTTGGTGTACCTAGTTGTTTTGTTTCAGGGTTTTTTTTTTTTGCCAATAATTATTAAATACAGAAGTACTTTTAAAAAGTTAGTCTATGCATCACTTAAAATCACCTTGTGTATCCCTAGAAGTCCTCATCCCGCACTTTGAGAAACAATGGTTTAGACCACAGGTCTAAAGTGGGACCAACAGCATCAGCATCCTGGGAACTTATTTGAAATGCAAATTCTGAGCCTTCCCCACTCCAGATCCGCTGAATCAGAAAATCTGATGTAAAGCCCAGCAATCCACATTTTTGTCAAGTTTCCAGAGGGTTCCAATGACACTCAAGTTTGAGAACCATTGGTTTAGATGATCCCCAGCGTCTTCTAGTGCTCCCCTGCTTATAAGTCAGGTTCTAGAAGGGACAACCCGAGCTTTGCAACCAGGTCCTAAATCTGTAATCTAGGAAAAAAGGTAGCCTGAGTCCTAGTCTCCCCGTCTGTAGGAGGAGTCCTCTTTTGCTCACAGTGCTGTCAGGAAATGAATGTATGTGAAGCCCCAAGCACACCAGGCATGTGGTAGAGGCTCAATGAATATTAGTCATTTTCCTTTCCCCTTCTAATTAGGGTCCGAAAGATCATATTACTTATGTTTTAGTTTGCCACATCATTTTGCATGAAATTTCAGGAGCTAACGGGGAGGGGAGGGGAATAAAGTAATCGAGGCGCTCCTCCAGCTTTGTGTCCATCTTTCCTTCCATTAGCCCTGCCTCCTCAGGGGACAGAAGAACAGGATTCCTTGGCAGGCAAACCACACCCAGGGACAAGCTGGGAGCCCCCACAAGCCTGAGTGGGAGAGTCTGCAGCAGAAGTCCTTCAGGCCCACCAGGCCTCCACCTTAGAAAAGAACCCGGAGCTGGACAGCAGGCCACAGGCCCGGCGAACTGAGGGGAAAACCCGACAACAGCCATTACCAGGCAAGAGGAAAAAGACACACACCGCGCCAACTTCCAGAAAAGGGAGGAAAGGGTTGGTTCTGGGAACTCAGTCTGCAGGAGAGCTCTGCCCTGGCAGCTGGGCCAAATGGCCACATGCTGAGGTGGGCTGGACCCTGGGGCTGCCCCGGAGGAGGCCGGCAGCTCGCAGACCTGTGGGTGATTTTCCACTCTGTGGGCTACCTGCCAGTCTCCTGCCTGGCAGCCCAGCCCAGGCTGCTCCCAGGAGGCCAGGGCCAAGAGGGACCATGGCCCCTTCATCCCACTGCGATGCAAGGATTGTCGTCTGCCTTTAGTTTCTCCATCATCGACGCTCAGCACGCTCCCAGACCAGCAGCACTGGCATCGCCGGGGGGCGTGGGAGAAATGCAGACTCCCAGGGACCCTGCCTCCCCCAATACACACACAACTGAGGAAAGAAAGCTGCATTTTAACAAGATCCTAGGCCTGCTACGTTGTATATTTTTACTATTTTCAAGTTTATAAAGGACTTTGGTATCTAAATAAGCCCACAAATTCTCCAGCAAGGCAAATAATCACCCTGAGACATCTTCTGAGTAAGTCTGAATTTTTACTGACCACAGGTAAAGAGAAAAATCAACACAAGTTCTGGTGGCCAGGGCCAGACAAGGGGAGACCCAGCTCGCAGCTGGCCTGTCCTGTTCTGCGCTGTGGGAATGGCCCTCTGCCTCGGCTCACCCCTCTGGGAAGCAGGACACTACACGGGGTTTCTCCCACCAGCCCAAGTAATCCTGCCCAGGGCCCACACTGGCGCTGCCAGGTACTGCTGGGCTTTTCCGAGCCCCGTGAGAGGCCAACTTGAAAGATCTCTTTGTTCTGGCCTCTCGCGCTGACCTTTCTGAGCAAAGCTGCCACTTTTAACAACATCCAAACAGGGCCTCAAACCAACCCTGGCCCAGAATCAGGCTGCGTGTGGAGAAGCCAGGAAGCCATGGATGCCAACTCAAGTCAACGCTGGCTGGCCAGCAGCAGAGAGAAAGAGCTGAGCGTGCAGGGATGGGTGGAGGAGAGCCGCTCATCTCAGGGAGGCCTCCAGGTGGGCCCTGCAAGGAGGCCACAGGCTCCTCCGGGCCCCTGGTCAGCAGCAGGCAGCAGAGTGGATTTTTAAAGCGCTTCATCTCATCCAGTCTTTGCAACTTCTAATGAGGGTGGTGAGGCAAGCTTCGTATTCCCGGCTACGAGCATAGTGCTTGGAACACAGAAGGCACTCACAAAATTGCATGGAGTAAGTCAATTCTCACTTGCCAATGCGAAAATTAAAACATGCAGATGCCTGCCTTGTCAGGCCATCACTCACCCACGGGGAGAGGGGAGATTATTGCAGGCCCCAAGGGCTTCAGATTTTACTCCCTTTTAACCAAAAAGACTCTCGAGAAAAGACAATGCATATTTTCCGAGCTGGCACAGTTACACCTTCTTTTCCTGGCCATTGGAACACCAGGACTCCACTGACTAAGTCTTTACAAAGTGCCTACTGTATACCGAACGCTGGCTGCTGTATACCAAATGTTGGGTTCTCAAGAATTAAGAGACTGAGTGGGTGAATGAATATCTCACTCGTGGCCCCACAAGTATGGAGTTCACAGTCTGAGAAATCAGCCACTCTCTTAATTTATTCAAGAGCTTAGCAAAATATCTTGCATACACTAGGTCCTCAACAAATTGCTGGGGCAGGGGATTTGGTTGGATTCGAAACAGAGAATGAGAAAACGCATGGAATTTATCACTGAATAGAACCTAAACACTCTGCTATGACCCTGGCCAGAAGTCTGCATTTCAGGGCTGGCACTGCTAATTGTGTGCAAGAGGTTTCCGGTCAAAGACCCAGAAATGCACAGCCAGTTGGCAGATTCCAACAGCTGGAGGGCTGAATCGGGGGACAAGGTCAGGTGAAGTTCAAACGGTTATCAAGCTATTCCTCCTGCCTCAGATCCACATCATCAGTTTCAAAAACTAAAGCTCTCTTCTTCACTTCCAGCCCCAGAAAAAGGCAGTGACGCTTCCCTTGCAGGGCACTGAGGACGTCCAGGTAAGAGGA